CTCCCGATAATTCACGAAGGTTCGAGAAGTACGTGGCGTAATACTAGTCACGTGACCTCGCTGACGCAACAGTATTAACACGAAGTAAGTTTTCCAAAATCGAGTCAAACCGAAAATTGCTTGGAGTTTCCTTGTTAACGACCATATATAATTGTTTTAGCGTTATTAATATAAGGAAAACAAAATGCATGGCAAAGACTTTTTTATTTCTTTAGCAAATATAAACGAGAACGATTTAGCTTTCCGAGATAAGACAAGTGTTTGGTTTGTTTTGATTTTCGCACAAAGTTACTCGAGAGCTATCTGCGCTAGTCGTCCCTAATTTAGCAGTGATAGACTACAGGGAGGGCAACTAGCCAACAACATCCACGCAAACTCTTGGGCTACTCTTTTATTAACAAAAAGCGGGATTGACTGTAACATTATAATGCCCCCACGGCTGAAAAATCGAGCATGTTCGGTGACGGGGATTCGAACCCACGACCCATAGATTGCGAGTCAAGCGCCCTAGCCACTAGGCCATGCCAGACTCAGGCAAGTGTACAACTTAAATTTAGAAAAATCAGCTTCAGATACGACCTTAAAGAAGTCTCAATTTGTTCCTCTTTTTTTTTTTGGAGGGTGGGAGGGGTGCGGGGTAATCAAGTGAAAACGGAAACTGATGTCTTTCCTCTTAAGCTGCTGTTGTACCGGAGCTACAATTCTTTAGCAAAATATTTACTTTGCCAACTCTTCGCCTTTTTAGATTTCCTTTTATTTTCAAAACCTGACAAAAACCAAAACAAACGGCAATACCAATTTTCAAAGTCCCAAGTTTTTGGACATATGACGACGATTACACACAGTTAAGCTACCTTATATCTATATACATGAAAGTAATGATTGTATAGAAAAGACGGTTCCCAGAAAAAGAATAAAATAATGTTATAAATATTTTTCAGGAATCATTTCCCGTAGAAGGCATGTACAGCGCAGATAGCCTATTGTGTAGCTCCATATTAAACAACAACAAACAAACAAAAATCTAAAAACACCCAATTGCTTAAGCTTGTCATAAGCACTAAAATCGAAGGTCAATGAAACCAAATTAATGCAAACATGATTTCTGATAACATAAGGGTGATTCATATTTCACCCTTGTTGATTTCATAGTTTACAAACGTCTTTAACTATTGAAGCTTGTGGACGTGTTCTTGGTATATAATTTCGTTTTATTTGGGTTTCTTTACACAAAAGAGCTAATTTTTTGCATAATTATACCCCTGGCTTCGGTAAAATAATGTAGTTCTTCATTTATTTATTAAAATATATTTCTTTCGAAGGAGGAGAAGGCGCTTTCAAGGTGAATAACTCAGATTGATATTAAAAACAATATATATAACAAAGTACTTAATGGTGTAGAGAATATGGAGTTCAACAAGTACAAAAAATTATTTTTTGTCTCGGTGAACGTAACCTTCAGTCAACTGTTTCAGAATGTGTTTTTAACCTAGAAAATAAATTTAATTTGCATCATCCAAGCTCTCTACAGCCTATAAAAACGTAGGAATAACGTTATGCTTCCGTTTTAACAATAAAATATACTAAGTTATTCTAATATCTATGCAAAGATATGATTAATATTAGGTCGCTTTCGAATACTTTAAACGAACCTCCTAAACGTCACGTTAGTGTAGCCTATATAATGTTTAGAATACTCTAATCCATTATGGCGATGGCACACGACGAGACACACATTCGGCATGTAATGCTGTTGGAATACAGAAAGGGAAACAACGCCTCTGTAGCCACAAAGAATATCAAAGAAGTTTATGGAAATGTTTTGAACGTTCGTAAGTGTC